TGAAATTAAGTGAAATCTTTAGAAAATAACAATTGTCTTTTTTTCCTTTTACTAGTGATAATGTATATATATTCAATATGTTTAAATACAGTTCAATATGCTACATTTTAGAAATCTCTGCTGAGAAAGTTTATCTCTAATGTCATTTTATAAGCTTGAAGAAAGGGTTTTTAAGCAAAGTACCAATTTTACAATTACTCTGTCAACTCCTAACTTAAGAAAAAAAAATCGTTGATCCGTTCTATGACATGGAATGAGTTTCCAGGTAGACTTGGACTGACAGCAGTGAAGTGTAAGTTCCAGAGAAGTAGCAGTTGTGGGAGTTTGGCAATTTCGTGACAAACCAGGCCTACCATGGGTATGGAGCCCTGGCTGGTCTCGGTGAGCCAGCACAAGAGGAGGGGCTGTGGCACTTGGCTTCACAGGCTGGATTCCTCTGGAAATAGTGGAGCCTGTTTCAGTGTTTCCAGCCCTCAGTAAAACTCCAGTGAACTGATGACCACCCCCCCCCCCCCCCCCCACTGTGGGATTGCTCACTCGCTCTCAGGGTCAAGCACTGCCTTCTCAGTACACAGGTCCCATTAGGGCACATACTTCCTTCACCATGCCTCCATCCCACTGTGCCTGACCCCAGTCACCTAGCCTGTGGGTTCTCCCAATCCCATGTGCCAGCCTGCTGTTCCCCGACTGGGTCACTTGCATTCCTCCCCCTTGCAAATTGCTACATGAGATCCCTTCCTGTTCCTTGAAAAACAAACCACCACACATCTCCTTTCTATGTTCAACATCCTTGTGCTAGAACGGAAGTTGCTGTCTTGATGATGCATTCTGAGGACAAGCATCCCCTACAATCCTCTATACTGGCAACTGTTCATTCTTCCACAACCAGTGGACGTCAGGATAAGGGGGAGGGGGAGGGAACCATTTCTACTTCTGCCCCTGAAAATAAGCACCATCTGGCTGGGCCACCCTCTACCTCCTGTAATCCCCGGCCATCAACAATCTCATTCATCAGACATTGTGAGGCCTGGGCCAGCATCTTCCCCTCCCTACCACTCATTGTCATCATAGGGGTGACATCAGCTTCAGTGTGGGTGATCCTTCACCAATCACTGATGTCTCACAGACAAGTGACCCCCCTGCTGATTTCCAGCAGCCTGCATCTCTCTCACCCTACTTCAGCCATCCAGATGACTGGCCACCCCCAGGTGGACTCTACCCTCCCCCCAGAAACTATGGCTTTCTCTAATCTTAAATATTGGAAGCATCACATTCTCAGGCCCCAGGTCCTATCCTAGCTCTCCTGAAGATTTCCTTGTTCTACAAATTTTCTCCTATTCTACTGGTATTTCTGGACCCTGGACACCAATGCCAGCTTCCTTCCTGGGGATGCCTCCTGCCTTTGCTGCTTCTTCAGGTCTCCACGTTCTTTTGTTCAACCCCTCTCATGTGAGTATTCTCCACATCGTGACTCCTTTCACTGTCCACGTCCCACCTGACAAAATCCCAGTCTGCAGACAATTCATTTCCCTCCCTCCCTTCCTTCCTTCCTTCCACTCAGTGGCAGGCAATGTTAGAGAAAAATCACAGTTTTGCACATTGGAGACCCTACAAACACATGGTCTCCAGGCTCAGCTGAGCCTTCCATATGGTGAGCCACTCCTCTGAGTACCCACCCTGCTTCCTTTCCAGAAGAGCAAGTTTTGATAAACTTTGATCCATTCTTGTGGCTTTTTGGCTACCTTTCTGGGCTCCTTTATAGACTTACTTCTCATGAGCTCTGCATTAAATATGTAATTTCCTTGGCATTTCAGTTTTTTCTTTCTCTTCATTTTACATGCTCCGTGGGGAAGCTTGACCTCTCATTTGGCTTCAAATGTGACTTCAACTCTAAATTCTGGGGCATCAATTTTTGATCTCTCATATGAGTTATCGTCCTGAGGTGAGGCTAACCAGCCATCTCTCCCACCTTCATCTGCCTTGGGTTCTTTGTTCTAGAGATCAATGACTGGAGGCCATCCTGAAGTCTTTCTTCTCCAGTAGAGCCATTGTCTAACCAGCACCAAATTGTGCCCATCCCTTATCTGTCGATTCTCGCCATCACCACTTTCATGACACAGGTCCCTACCACCACTTTCTCTCACTTGATCAAGGAAACATTCTCCATATTGCCAGCCTCCAATGTTATCTTCAACACTGCAGCCAAAATCATCTTTCTCAATAAAAGTTTGACCTTGCAGTTTGCACTCTTAGTTACTGCTGCAGAGTCCTTCTGTCCTTAATATGCTTTTAAGGACATTCACTATGGAACTCCCCTCCCTGGGGTGGAATCATTATTTTCCACCTATAATACATGTTTACTCCAGAAACACTGAAGTCATTCAATCCCCTAAACATTTTAATATTATCTCCAGACCTTCATCATGCTGTTCCCTCTCCCGAAGACACCTTGGTCTGCCTACTTACCCCTGAGGTTTAAGCTGCAATGCAGCCCTCCCTAACATCTGCCCCTGCTTCGGAACCTCACACCTCAGACACTGGGGACTGAGCTCCTCTTCTGAGCTGGCACAGCAGCCTGATGTGGCAGCTCATACCACATGACCTTGTTGGAGTGCCTGTTGCTACACCAGACCCCACTACAAGTAGATAATACACAAGTCGGCAGAAACCACGGGCTCATTGCTAGAGCCCAGCACCAAGCACAGTGCCTTGAATAGGCAGGTTCTCTTGAGTGTTGGTCAAATGCCTTAGTGTTCAGTGTTCATGGTGACAGACCTAGATGGATCTTTCCATTTTCTGGATGTCAGACTATATCTTGGGCTCCATAGTTTAGAATTGAATTAAACCTGAACATCTTTCAGTTTTAATCAAATTTTCTGAGACAGCTGGGTAAATGGAATTATCTCTATTCTCCCAAATAAACACTTATAAGTACCTAGGCTTATTTCTCTCTATGTGAAGCTAACCAGCTGGTGATTTCCGTCTCTAAGCAGATGTTCAGTCCCACATAGACCCAGTGGGGCTGTGCCCCAGGACTACACCCCTCACACATTTCTGAACCCGCTCTGGAGTTCTGGAGAAGGCCTCTCAGTTAGGATTTTTTTAGTTCAGCTGGTCCTGAAACCTTGGAGTCCACCGAGGGAAAAATTAAGAAATGATTTCCAGACCAGAGAAAAGGGAACTGGGGCTGGGTGAACGGAGAAAGAAAGTCAGTTTTGGGGCAACATCAAAAGTCAGACTGTGTTGTTAAGGCCAAAATAAATAAAGGTACACAAAATCCAAGCAAGACAAAAATGTTCATTAGCTGGGCTGTCCTGACCCAGACCACCCACTTCACCGAGTTCACCAAATCACAGCAGTTTCACTCTGCCAATACCCCACACCACCCTGTACCCCCTGGGGACAGACAGGGCAGTGGGGTGGGAGACCAGAGACCAGCCTAACCATTCTGACCACTCCCAAGGAACTCAGGGTGTGGTTTCTGCAGCTAATCGAGCTAGAGGTCAGGAGGTGGGGAGTTCCCTGCCTGATGCCTCAGTTTCCCTTCTGATAGAGCAACACATTTTTTCTCAATCCATTTATACTAATGATCTCAAATGGAGGTTGGGGTTAGGTCAGGAACTATGGGGAAGGGCAACATTCTTTAGAAAGGCGTTTTCAGAATATATCTTCCTGTATAATTAAAAACAAACTATTGCTTTCCTATTAAACTTTGGAGGAAGTTAAATCCAATTAAAGCATCTGGTGTCCTTGGGGAGCATGAAGATGGAGTCCTCATTAGCCCCTGCAATAACTCTGAGGGTAGGTAGGGGATGGAGGGGCAGGGGAATTTCACTTGATTTGTTCACAGATTTTTCTGTCTCACCCATCAGGATGGAAGGATAGAGATCTCGCACAGTTTGTTTGTTACTATATTCCCAACACCTAGACCTGGGCCCAGCACACAGCATACAATTTTCAAAGGAACTGATGAGTGAAAGAGAGAATGAAGGAACGAATGAGCATAAACCCCACAGGAACAGGGACTGTGATTGGAGAACCTCGCTGACACAGGGTAGGTGGACACTGAATATTTTCTGTGCATTGTTTATCAAAACAGAACACTAATGAAAAGAAAACAATAACCTTTTGAAGAAGACTTTCTAGAGCAAGGCTCAGGCTTCCCAACTGAGACAATGAGGCCGAGGAGGGAGGGAGGCTTGTCTGCCGTCTCTGAGTGTGTCTGCAGGCCTCACTGAGGTCTCTGAGTCCCGGTAGAGTCCCCACCCAGGGCCTCTCACTGCCTGCACCTCAGGAAGCTGCGACTTGCATCCACTGAGGAAGGCTAACTGGATCAGCGTCCTAACCCCAGGCCCTTGCAGCCTCCCCACAGGAGAGCAGACTTTTCCTCCTGGATGCCCCAAGTCCTGTTGCTTGCTCTGCTCCCCACAGCTGCTGAATTCCCCTTCTACTCTCTGGCCCCTGGAGCTTATCTGCTCACATATTTCTGGATTGTGCACAAAAACAAAGCCTGGATAGGGGCCATGGGACCAGCTGAGGCCCACACCCTGGAAGTGCTATCCCCTTGTCTGCAGGTGCTCTACGAACTAGCCATGGCTTTCAGCACCTGGAGGAGCTGAGGAGGCTTCTTGGCAACTTAGGGAAACAGTGAACTCCCAGAAGTCAGCCTTCCCTTCAAGGCCCAGCTCAAGTGTTACCTCTCTCTGAAGCCTTCACTGCTCCTCAGCATTTATGAGGCTTGCCCCTCCCTGGGGCCTCCAGACACTTCTCCGTGCCATCCCTCCACAGCTCACTCACCTGCCTCTGCGTAGGTCTGTGTGCAGTTCATGACCAGGACAATGTTCGGTTCTCCTTTAAGCCTCCTGTGCCCAGCACAGTGCCTGGCTCTGAGGAAAGAGTCCCCAGGAAAGATTCATGACAAGTGGACTAGGTCTCTCAGCATCCTTAGGACCAGGAAGAAAAAGAAACCAAAGAGATACTTTCCAGGGGGCTCAGGGACCATGAGGTGGAAGGCAGTGAAAGCAAAGGACAGGGCTCGCAACAAGGAGCAAAGTGTGCCAGCCTTCCTCCTCCTCAGCCTCAGGACCCAGAGGCCACCAGGCGTAGCGGGTTTGGCTCCATGTCTGCCCTGGCATCCTGTCTCCCTTTCTCAGTCAGACCACATGTTTCATTAGGAAAAAAGGAGCTGAAGGAGCAGATGTAAGCAAGATGAATAAGATGAATGCAAACCTTTGCTTAAAATGCCACCCACCTGATAAAAATAAAGGCTATTTAGTCCACCACTTTTCTCACCTAGAAGTTGGACTTGCTTATCTGAACCCAGGCTTGTAGACACACCTGAAATGCAGAGCTCATGTCTGAAGGGTTCACTCAGAGTCAGGTCGCAGAGTGCCAGAGGAGAAGGGCAGAGTGAGAGGCAAAGCCGTCTGCAGGGCGCATGGGTTGGCTTTACCTGGGAAGAAGAGTCTTACAAGGGACTTTTAATGAGTGCTCTTGGGACCGCACGCATGGCAAAGAAGGGAAAGGCAGGGGGTAGCCGGGCAGAGGAAAGAGAAGAGCTGGGATGCCGTCTCAGCAGATGGCCTCGGCGAGCACCGCAAGGGTTCTGAAGACGGAAAGGCCCTTTGGAGCTGTCCAGCTCTGGGTGACAGTGCCAGGCCTTCTCCCATCCAGACCAGTCAAGCTTGGAGACTGTTGCCTGGGAAAGGGGTGAACCTTGGCCAGGGGTCCTCAGCCAAGACAATCCTGAAACAGGCTGCATGCTGGGACAGTCTTCTGGGGACCTTCCAACAACTGGGGGAGTATATCCCCTACTCTTGAGGAGGGATCTGGACTGCCCGTCCTGGCATGCCCCACATAGGCATGAAAAGGAGGACGGGTGATCAAAGGAGCATCAGCCAGTATAGCAGGAGGGGTGTTGGGCTTGACAAGGAGAAGTAGTAAGGAATAAAACTGGAAAATCATGTCAGTTCTTCCCCATTCACCCCCTCCTACCCTTAACACATTCGTCATGCCCAGCTTAGGGTGGAGGAGAGTCAAGTGTCAAATTCAAGACTATTGTACTTAAATGACCCACATCTGACAAACAGAGACTTCCAAAGTCATCATTGCTCAGAAGGGGAACTGAAGCCTGAAAAGGAGATGGGAGCGGCTCAGTGTCACCCGGGGAGTCCATGTGGATGCAGGAGGAGGTCCCAGTCATTCTGACTCCTGTACTAAGGTTAAGATCTTCCTTCTGACCTAACCCTTCGATATTCCTCCCCACCCAACACTGCACACATAGACTCACCCTTGTAATCTTTTGTGCTTTCACAAAACAAAGCAAATCAGTGAGCCTTCATTGAGTTCATGTTGAACACTCAGTATGGTCCTCAGGCTACAGGGAGGCAAGAGAAAGAAGAGTCAGAGCTGTCCCTTTGGTTCAGGACATAAGAGGCGTGGCCGGCCAGCAACGGGACAGTGCTGCTGGTAGGCCAGAAGAAAACTCCCATGTGCATATATTCACATCAAGGGTCAAGTCCTAGCAATGTGGGGTGGGCCAGAAGGGAGGCTGTGGATGAGGCTTGGGAATGGACTCTTGGTCATGTAAGGACAGAAGTACCAGCCAGGATGGGAGGCCCAGGCCTCTTGGCCCTTCATCTTGGGCATGGTAGTCACCTGGATGGAAAACAGACTTTGGTCTTATAATCACTGAGGACGGCCCCTGCCCTGCATGGGGAAAGGCTACTCTCTTTGGAGTCCAATCAAGGGACAGTCAAACGAAAGGCAGAGATTCCCTGATGCTCGCACGGTAGCTAGAGTTCTACAGAGGACTCCTGAGATGAAGGGGCATAAACTATGAGGGAGCCACTCACCCCAGACAGGCCAAACCTGCAAAAAGAGATACAGGGAAACAGAGGGAAGCCCCAGAAGGAGGGAGGTCCACACAGTAAATATCAAGTAGCTCCCAGGAGAATAAAATCTCCCAGAGATTAGAGTAACTGACAGTAGGTGAATTCATGGTTCTGTTTGCACTATTTGGGCTATGCCTGGACTTTCCATGGAGGCAGGAATGTCTGTTTTTCACCCAGGACAAGGTCACCCCATCCAGGCAAGTGCCTTCTCCAGATTGCTGTGGAGGCAGGCAGCACATGGGTGCTTATATGTAGGGAACAAGCCGACAGCAGCCACTTGGGGCATTGTCCAAGTTCAGACCTTGCACTAAGTGCAATTCCCAATGGCTCTATCTCTCAGAGCTCTGTCCCAATCTTTCTGGAAAATTTAGAGCAACAACTGCACTCTCTACTACCACATCAGCAATCAAACCTAATAACTGGTTTAGTATTGTTTAGGTGAAAATGATTCTAACTAGGTGAGCACTGGAACATGGAGCCCCTGATTACAGGGACACCAGGGACTATTGCTGAGTTCCTGGACTCTCCCTCCACCAGCAGGCACCCTAGGTGGTAGTCATCAATGCTAGCACAAATATTTCTGAGAACAAGCGAGAATGTGTGACTTACTTTATCAATGAAATATGATGGAAGTTGTGTGTATCACTCCTAGGGTAAATGCTTTTAAGATGTAGTGGATGAGGGACTGGGGAGGGTGGGTGGGAACGGAGGGAAAAGGGGAGTAAGGGGCATTGTGATTAGTTTACATAACATAGAGGGGGCACGGGGAAGGCAGTATAGCACAGAGAAGACAAGTAGTGATTCTATAGCATCTTACTATGCTGATGGACAGTGACTGTAATGGGGTGTGTGGTGGGGACTTGATAATGGGGGATAATCTAGTAAACACAACATTGCTCATGTGATTGTATATTAATGATACCCCCCTCCCCCCAAAAAAGATACAGTGGATGATTTGCTGCTGGCCCTTCTCCATGACATGGGGAACAGCAGCGTTCCAGATGTCGGATTGTCCATCCATCTGAGACTCCTAGTGAACATGGTGAGGAGCAGGTCTCCTCTGCTGACTTAAGATGTATGTGTAGCCCAAGGGAAAAATTATTTTAAGTTTTCGGATTTTTAGATTTGTTTGTTTTGCAGCACAACCTCTCCCATCCTGACTGATACATCATATAGATCCTCAGTTGTTTCCTTCATGACTCTGATACAATCCCAAATCCTCACCATGGCCAGTAAGGTTCCTGCCTTCCTTTCAACCTCGTCTTCTACTAGTCCTGCCTTGCTCCCTTTGTTCCAGCAATAGTGGTCTTCTTTCTATTCCTTGAACATGCCAAGCTCATTCCTCCTTGAAAGACTTGACACTTGCTGTTATCTCTGCCTGAAATAACCTTCTCCCAGACCCTCGATTCTGAGTGGATTCAGATCCACTCAGCTGCCACCTCCTTAAGGGGCCTTCTCTGACTACTATCTAAAGAAGTCTAGTCACTTTTTATCACTTTAACCTCTTTGTTTTCTTCTTGGCATTTATTTCTTTCTGAAATTCGTAGTCTTTTGTTTATGTTTGTTTTCTCCCCTAGAATATGAGACAGGAATGTTACCTGTACCTAGAACAAGGCCTGAGACGTAGTAGGGGTTCAGTAAATATTTAATGAGTGAGTGAGTGAATATGCAAACCAGTGAAATCCCCTGCATCATGGGTAAGAGCCAAAGAGGAAGCTAAATGAATGGCATTCGTTTTTACAAGCAGATAGTACTCAGAAATCCAGCAGTGCTAGGCCTACTCGTTTCCTGGCAGTCCGTTTTGGAGCACTGACCATTTCCTCCCAGATTTAGGCACCCAATTCACTGTGATATACGGCCCAAGCTCCTCATTGCATTTAATGGCAAACCCTGATCCGAGTGGAACTGCAGCCAGGTGGCTCAGGGGAGCCCCGGAATATGACTTCTGTATAGACCACAAAACCTGGAGAAGCTAACAGTGTTCCAGATACATTAACTCATAATCCCCAGGAAGCATACACTTCTGATGAGGGAATGGGAGGCTCCCCTCTCCACAAGCACTAGTAGCCATAGGTAATCCTCATCCCAGTAAAAGTCTTGCCCGTGCGTTCAGAGAAACTTCATCAATGTCGGCACAAGGGCCCGCTGCAGGGAGAGAGAAGTGCATCTGCTCAGCAGCCTTCTCAGGTTATGGATTATGCAGGTCTTTGCCAAGGTCGTCCTCAGGTAGCTGAGGGCTGATGTAACCCCCATGGCCAACCCGCTTAGCTCACCTGCCTGTTCTTGGGGTCCAGAGGAAGCTGACAATTACTGCTCCTGGCACTTCAGCCTTATTCTCAGTAGGGACACAGGAGGATGTGTCTCTGTCCCTAAAACAGAGAGGATGGGGCTCCAGTCCAAGATGCCCTGCACAGCAAAAGGGCCATTTTAGCCTTCCAAGTGCATCTCCACTTGAATGCCTGTGCCCCATCCCCAGCACCCCCACTGCTCCATTTGTCTCCTGCTTTCTTTCTTCCACAAGCTGAATGGACCTTCCTCCAGGTCTCAGAATTCAGCCTTTGCTTTTTATTCCTGTCTTAGCAGAGCTGGGGATCCCTCTACGCTCACAAATTTGCTGTCTCCCCTCTGTGAGTACTTCTAAATTTTACCAGGGTCTTTTTCTCCCAGTTATTTTTGCAGGGTCAGAGCAGGGGTCCCTGAACAGCAGTCCATGGACTAAAGCATATTTGTTGTAAAAAATAGATAAAATAAAATAAAATAAAAGCTAATATGTAATGCTTTTGTGAAGCTAAAATTATTTAGAGGACTGCTGTATCTCCCTATTTGGGAAGTTTTCTTCTTTTCCCTCAACAAAATGGAGATTGAGGCTATTTATTTGTTTTCCTGTACTCATCTGGGCAAATAAAAAATTGGCAACCTCAAAATGGAGACCAAATTAGTCACACAAGTTTTTGTTTACTTTCCCATGAAGTGCAGAAGTCTGCATGCAGCAGTCCATAAGACATCCCTACCTACCTGTCTTAGGTTTCTACGTAGAGTGCATTATGCTGAAACCCTCATTGTTACCAGGTCCCAAGTCCCCTCGGTTCTCATCAAAGGCATCACTACCTTCTTAGTCCTGGAACCTCCCGCTGGAATCAGCCTAGGTTCTCCATTCCCATCCCTCCCTAATCCACTGTGCACACTCCAGGATCCCAGTCGTGTTCAAACATGGCT